GGGAGGAGGTTTGATTGATAAGCATGCCTTTGTATGTTAAATATAATTATACATATTATATTTTTTATTATTATTTTTTATATTAATATTATTTTTTATACTACTAGGCGGACTGTCTAATAGCTATTTTATTAATAATAAGGGGGATAAAAATTACAGTAGTGTTGCCTTTATACCTTGACTATATAATTATCCATGTGCGCCTCCTTATACACATTATATTGTATATAATTAGTATAAATATTTTGTATATTGGATTAGTGCTCGTAATCTTTTCGGTAAGACAAAAAAATAAAAACAAATCATTAGGGCCTACATACATGCGTGTTAGTGGCCACTGGTTCCAACTTCCAAGCAGCATGCAACATCTGGATCAGAGTCGACACCATAGCGAAATTAATGATAGGTACGCCATTGTGTTGTTCCTTTGACCAGAAGTTTCGAACCGTTTTTGTTTTTATAGAAAGACGATAATCACTGTTGGCACTGGCTTCTCTCCACGTGTACTGCTTCTTTCCACTCTTTATCACTTATTTCTGCCATCTGTCCTCTCTTCTCCTAATAATGCTGCTAATGTTCATCTTGAGATAAGGAGTGCTTTCCCATCTTGCTACTACAAACTTCAGCTTTAAGCATTTTTCAGTTTATTTACGTGTTCAGTTAGACATCGAAAAATGTTTATAAATTAAAATTATTTTATGACTTAAAATCAATCAGATGCCATAAAATAATCCTCCTAATTAACTTTTTGTTTTTCAATTTATAAACAGTTATCATTTGATGAAACGTTTTCTTGTTTACTTTAATGTTCTTTGTAATCACAAAAATACGTTTTTCAAACAAAGCTCTAAATTCTTACACCCCCCTCCCCCCACCTTTTTTCTACGTAAAGATATTTCTAACACGTATGTTTTACACGGCCGTAGAAACATTTCAATCATCTAATATAACTAAATTTTATAACAGTTGCATTAAGCTCCGGCTATACACAGTATTCGAGAAAGGATAGGATCACAAAGATCTATTGTATGTATCATTATCCTATATTTTTACAAGAGAAAATTTTTGCGGTTCGAACTCATGACCTCCTGATCAAATCACAGTAACTTTAACAGTTACGCCATGACAGCAATTTAATTATATTAAATGATTGAAATGCTTCTATTGTAAAAAATACGTGTTGATCAGCTAAACCTAAACAGGCTCATAGTTTCCCTATTTGGACTAATTTAGGCGAACTCGGGTTACATATACTATACTCTGTATAAGCTAAAAGAATTAAAAAATGTATGTATATAAAGTTACACGAGGATATATATAAATAGTGGATCTGACTTCTTTCAATAATAATTCCATCACCTGAAATTTCTCTGGACCCTTCTTGTTCCCGATTCTAGTTCGTTCTACCTTGCATTCTCTTCTTAATACTAAACGATATAATCGGATCATGGCTTCTCAAGAGCTGAAACACAGAACCAAAGGAGGACAAGAAGAAGAAAAAGAAGTTATACAAACAGCAGAACGCAAAGATACAGACGAAAACACAAAAATGGACAGAAGCAGCAAAACAACAAGAAGACAGAAAGCCAAACGAGGCCTCAAATCTTTGGGAATCGCCTTGACCTTACCTTTGCTATTAACCCTTTTAGACATCTCTTTCTTTGGGTCCAGTTACCAGTACGTTTCAATGGAGAAACCCTTTTGGATCCCACGTCTGTGGGCTTTGCACTTAGCTTGTTTGGGTTCTGCTTTTCTGATGGGCCTTTCTGCTTGGCTTGTTTGGGCTGACGGTGGATTTCATCGCCAGCCTATGGCTATGCTCTTGTACTTAAGTCAATTGGGGTTAAGCTTGGCTTGGGATCCTGTGGTGTTTAAGGTTGGAGCTACTAAGATTGGGTTGGTTTTGTGCATGGCTTTGTTTGGAGTGTTGATTGCGTGTGCTAGGACTTTTAAAAGCGTGAATCCTATTGCTGGGGATCTGGTAAAACCTTGCCTTGGATGGGCTGTGCTTCTGAGTCTTGCAAATCTTAAGCTTGTATACCACTAGTGACAAATTTGCTACATCGATCTTATGTGCACTTATTTCTTTGCCTGTTATGCTTGTGTACTGTAATTTAGATGCGTTGCTACATATTAGTGTTTTATATTTACTGTTCTATATATATATTTCACATCCTGAAATGCGTGAATTTGGAGTTTTTGCCTGGTATGGATTGTGTTCTTCCTAGTCACCAATAATTTGTCATATGGTTTGCTTTTTTGATTGGTGAGTCATCCCTGTCCTGTTCGTGGTACAAGGAATTTATTTCGTCTTTGGAGGTGGTCGAAAAATACATTGATTCATGAGTGGCGTTATATAAGAAGAAAAAGAGAATGTTTTGCAGGGCCAGGTAGTAAAGTCTTGAACGAGTTCTTTGAAACATGTCCCAGATTGATCCCTGTACTTATTACCTTCCGTTATATTTGTTGTCTAAATTTATCTTGATCGTGATCAAAGTAATCAATAATACCCCTAGAGGGTGAAGTGGCAAGAGAGGAGGGGCACACTAAGATTGGAGAGATGAGGTGGCACGCCACATGGTGTTCACCTCATCCAAATGTAAGAAGATGTGGGGTTTGAATAGCAACGGTGAACTCATGTTAAAAATGGAGATATTTTTAATTATTTTGCTAACGGCAGGAATAAATCTTAGATGATGATAAATTTGGCCTTTTTCCCTTGAAACATCTCAGGAGCAAAAGCAAAGTTTTCGAACAACAGAGCCACCTTGCTCTAATAGATGGAAATGCCACTTCAATCAAAACCACGACTGCTACAACCTTTCTTTTACCTCTATTGTTTGTCTCTGGTATAAACGCAAAAACTAAAGAAAATAATATTTTAAAAAGTGACAGTTTCAAGTTAAATGTACAGAGATGATATGTTTTCTAACCATAGAAGGCATGAAGCTTTTAGGCCAAAAATGTGTCACTTAATGTTCATTGCCATATCATCGCCTTAGAAGCAAAGGGAATAATAGCAGCCTGAGCTGCTTATTGGAACAATTATCGAAACAGGTTCCTTTGGTCATCCCCCAAGCCAAGTGAAGCTGAGCAATAGTGTCTTAGTACTTAAATTTCTAGTCAGTGCGGCAAAGCTTCCTAAGTGTCACAGAAATTCTCCTCTTCTGATCAATCTCTTGGCCTTCCCATTTTTGAAACCCATGCTTCCGATTTATCTCATGCTTCCAGAGATAGCGTGCTTCTCCCCGCATCAAAATAAGACATCCTGGAGTCAAAAGAACTGGCACTGTTTGTGGTGAATCTTGGTTGCATGTTTCGTTCTCGACTCGAGTAAAACGCATCACGCAGGATGACTCTAGAGATACGATAGCAATTCCATCTTCAAACCGCATTAGATCAACATGAGGACAGATCCCCTGTAATAAGGCAATCTGCTAAAAGTTACAACAACAACAACAACAAAACCCAGTAGTTTCCCACAAGTGGGGTCTGGGCAATCTGCTAAAAGTTAAACAAGAAAATTTATCAACCTAAAATCCAGATCTGGTGACTCTGGTCAAAGCTGCTGGTGAGAAATCATGCTTAATTGACATTTTTTATCGACTTAAAATCCAATGTCGGTTGAATCTGCTAATGAAAACCACTCCAAAATTTGCAGTACTACTTTGATTCAAAATGAAAAAAAGGAAAAAAGAAAATCATGAAATCAATGTCCAGCATGAGAAGCACTATCGAGGAAATATGAGTATGTTTATATGCTTAGAGACTTCGTTTAGTTTTGTAATTAAAAAAAAAAACATGAAAGAAACTTGAAAGACACTGATATAATGTGACTAAGAAAAAACTATGTGCAATAGTGCGATACCAGTATCTCCTTTGCCCCAAAAGAATATTAGTATTACGCTTTGGAAAGACTCAAAGGAAACATGACGTTTTAAATTGCAGCAACGCTTATATGTTAATCCCAGCTCGTGTGTTACTTATTGCACATATCCACAGTAGAGATGCATCTTATCCTCAGCATATCCAGCTTCAGAGTCTATTATTCTTTTTGCCTGGGATCGTCAAGGACCTTCATGCACCAACCCCTTCTCTTAGGTTAAAGCATTCTGTTTGATGTTCTTCAGATATATGTCATGAATCTTCAATTAGAAAGGCTTTTGTTTGTACTGTCATATAAGAAAAATAATGGTTGAAATCTACTTGACTTTGTTTTGTGAAACGAATCCATTTTAGAATGCTCCTCAAGTAAAACTCTCATCTACTAATAGAGGAGAGTTTTATTTTCCTTCTCAAAATGAAACCTCTCCTCTACTAGAGATATTTGTTCAATTTCTCTCACCAACTTAGTATCTTACTAATAAGCACCCATCCATAAACCAGAAATCCCCTACTTAGTTCATTGCTACGGGAATCTATATCATAGTAATAAGCTCCCTATTCATAAAAGCCAAGCATGCATTACCTAGATTTGTTAACAAAACTTTAGACAGTGATCCTTTTTGTTGGCATCTTATACTGCATCATGCAACTTGATGGTTGTACTAGTTAAACAGTTGGTACTTAGTAGCATTCTAGAAGCGTAATTTTACTATGATAAAACACTTATCAGTGAAAAAACGTTCTGTGAAAGGATAAAGTCGCACCTCACCTGGTTGATACATGTTAACTATAAGTTGATCAAATAGAGGTTCCCTCCATAACAGATCTTGTGGAAAGATACATGTTTCCTCGCCCTTTCCACAGTTCTCCAACTCTGCAACACAATTACTGAAAAGAATCGCCTCATGGATAGAGCTGGAAAGCTCAACTGCCCACCCTGGTAGGTCACCAAACCTCATAGCCTGCAGGGGAGGAAAATACATGTGATCAAGTGCATCGATAAATGACTCTAGGTTAAAATAGTCGAACAGTGTGACCCCATCAAGAGAAATTCAAAAATCGATTGTTGGTTTAAAAAAATTAAAACTTAGTCACTTAATTAAAAGGAAAAGAAGGTGTTAAACAGAATCTTCTGCTCTTTGTCCTTCTCAGAGATAGCTGGACGACAAACCTTTTCATAGTTCAACATTTCAACTATATGCCAGATATTCTTTGTAGTATTTTTTATCTGTTTTTCGACAAAAAGAAAATGGCATTACTTTAAAGAACTATTACATGGAGAATGGAGAGGCTAAAGTTTTTGAATTTCGAATGAAAGAAATGGTTTGATGCACATGGTAGAAATAACCTACCAATTCACCACTTGTACTGACTTGTGCATCCATTCACCAACTTCAAATTGAAGTGTCATAAAAAAAAAAGGGCAGGTCGGTGCACAAAGCAATCTCACATTCACGCAAAGGTTTGGGAAAGGGAGTGATGTAGACAGTCTACCCTAATGTAAGCATTAATAGCTGCTTCCACGGTTCGAATGTATAGGTCACACGGAGACAACTTTACTGTTGCTCCAAGACTCCCCTTCAGCGAAGTGTCATAAGTATAGCTGATTTACCCCCAATTACAATACCTGACATGTTTCTTCTCCCTTGAGTAGCAGTGGTATAAATTCTCAACTTAATATTTAGGGACACTAAATTCAAAGTTCACATTTTTACATAAAAATCACAGGAAACATCTTATTTCAAATGAAACATAAAGGATCATTTTCTACACAATTCAAGCTCACAAGTATGAAAACTAAAGATTTAACATGGAATATAGCAATAGTGAGGCAATATATCCTTCAGCCAAATGACACATGAGTAAGCTTTTAAATCACACTTAATTAAAGGGAATAAGTGTACTATACAAGAATGCGGTGAAGGTTTGAGGATCCAACAAGACCTGATTGCTTGAAGATTGAGCAAACCATCCTTCTGCAGCCACAATAGAGTCAAGAATCAAATGTAAGAGCTTTGATGTAAAATAATAGTAATAGGTTCAGTTGAACACACATAATCCGCCTTAAATATTACTACCTTTTTGGATTGATGACAATAAATTTGATTGTTGATCAGGAGATAGGAAGTCTTTGCACAGCCAGAGACCATCAATTTCACTGATTTTTTCCCAGTCATGACTTTCTCCAAACACTGACCCGGTTAGGGCTTTTCCATTTTCCCGATTCTCTGCACAGTGAGAATGGACAAATTGTTGTTGTTCTTCGCCTTCGCTGTCTGATGACTCGCCAAACGCTTGCGTTAGAATCGTCTTCAGCTGCTCTTCCATATTATTGTTCTTAAAATCTGAGTCTCTCCCAGTTCAATTTTGCCTTGCTGTTTGCACAGTTCCAGTTTCAATTTTTATTTGTTTTTAAATTTTTGGGTGAGTTAAAACATTTCTATTTCCGGAAAGTTGTCCTTTTGGCCACTTTAAATTTTTCTACTAGTAATATGCAATAATACATACTCCCTCCGTTCAGTTATAGTATTGAAGTATTTTCAAAATAAATTTTTATTTTTATTTATCACTTTTCGCATATCAATTAATATGGGTATCATGGTAAATTATATACTTTACTTTTATTTCTTAAGGGGCGTGAAAAATTTAATGTGGACAACTAAAAGTGAACGGAAGGATAATTTAACTTTCAATTTGATTGTTGGTGCCTCATCTAATAAATGGTTACAAATTTAACAAATTTTTAACTTAGAATACTAACATTACCTTAGCATTAAAGACGATTATTTATATGGTTTTGCAATTAAAATGTCGTTAGATTTGTAATAGTTTGTTAATTAGGCTATGAATTTGAAGGTTCAACAATTTACTTAGGTCTTACTAGGGAATTACACTAATCAAAATTAAAATATAACAATAAAAAAAGGACAAAAGCAAAATTATCTCTTTGTGAACGAGCAGAACATGTGCTCTGATACCAGTTGTTGGGAATAAATCCCCCACAGTAAATAATATTTATGAAAATAAAAGAGAAATAATAATGAAGCACCGAGATACGGTAACCAACAAGAATAAAAGAGTGACAAAGACCCCGAGAGAAAAAAAAATACGACCCCGAGGAGAGCAATTTATATCACTATAGCAAAATAATTTACACTTTATAGGCCCGAGTAAAATACTCCAAAGACTACTACAATACTCAAAAGAAATAACTCTCTTTTGATATTCTCACCTCACTACAATATCGCTCACACGCTCTATTTTCTCACAGATTATTTTCTTATACTCTATTTGTGATGCTTCACTCTTCTTTCTCTCTTTCTGATGGTGTGATGAAAGAAGTGAAGGAGCTCTCCTTTTATAGGAGAAAAACACGTAGCCTCCAAGAATGCTATAAGAGTAGCTTTAATTTTTCTCCACTCATTTCTAAATTTGGGGCCAAAGTAACCATAGGCACATGCCTATTAAATGGGATGGACCCCACATTCTCCCCCTCCAGTCATATTTACCTGAAGGAGGTAACACTAGGCTTTTAATTTAAGTGTATGCCGACAAGTTCTTTGCATAGTTCAAACTTGTCTCTTGTTACCACCTTGGTAAGCATATCTATCATCTATTTTTCCTTGAATCCAGTGATATCTCACGTCGATATGCTTCGTCCTTGCATGATACATGGTATTTTTACTCAAGTCTATTACACTTTGACTATCACAATAGACTATGTATTCCTTCAGGTGCAATCCAAGTTCTTGAAGAAACCGTTTTAGCCATACCATCTTTTTACCAGCTTTAGTAGCGCAATATACTCTGCTTCAATTGTAGAGAGTACGATACATTTCTGCAACTTTGACTGCCATGATATAGCTCCCCCTAAAAATGTGAACATGTATCCAGTAGTAGATTTATGATTATCAAGATCACATGCCATATCAGAATCCATGTAACCCTATAAGATTGGATCAAATCCTCCAAAATACAAACAATCTACAAAGGCACCTCTCAGGTACCTTAGTATCCACTTGACTTCTTCCCAATGTTCTTTTCCAGAATTTTCAAGGAATCTGCTAACAATACCAACTGCATAAGCAATATCTGGTCTGGTGCATACCATTGCATACATCAAGCTTCTGACTGCTGAAGAATAAGGAATTCTAGCCATGTTTCCTTTCTGCTCCATTGTTGTAGGACATATCTTCTTGCTCAACTTCAGATTGACCAGCAGGAAGTGTGCTGACTGGCTTAGCACTTTTCATGTTGAAGCGTTCCAGTACACGTTTAATGTACTTCTCTTGAGATGCACACAACTTTCTGCTTATTCTGTCCCGAACAATCTTTATTCCCATAATTTGTTGTGTTGGGCCCAAGTCCTTCATATCAAATGATTTGGACAAATCTCCCTTCAACTTTGCAATCATCTCCTTGTCTTGTCCTCCAATTAACATGTCGTCCACATATAATAATAAAATAATAAAGTTATTGTCATAAAATCTTTAAAGTATACACATGGATCAAAAAGTATACACATGGATCAAAATAAGTCTTTATGTAGGTTGGACTTTTCATGAATGAGTCAAACTTTATGTACCACTGCCTTGGTGCCTGCTTCAATGCATAAAGACTATTATTCAATTTGCACATCGTGTGTTTCTTTGCAACTACTTCAAATCCTTCTGACTGCTCCATATAAATCTCTTCTTCCAAATCTCCATGAAGAAATGCAATTTTTACGTCTAACTACTCCACTTCAAGATCTAGGCTACTTGCTCAGCTCAAAATTATTCTAATAGAAGTCATTTTGACAACAAGTGAGAAAATTTCGTCAAACTTAATACATTTCTTCTTTTCAAAGCCTTTTAACACCAATCGAGCTTTATATCTGACCAACTTGGCATTTCCATCTTTCTTGAGTTTAAAGACCCATTTGCATTTGAGTTGTATTTTACCCTTTGGAAGTTCAACCAACTTGTACGTGCCATTTTTCTGTAGAGATTCCATCTCTTCTTGCATGGCTTTCATTCACTGATTCTTTTTTGGATCGGACAGTACCTCCTTAAGACTTTCTGGCTCCCCCTCATCATGATGAGGATATACTCTGTACCTGGATGATCTAACCTTGGCCTTTCTAATCTCCTCAGAGGTTGAGGTTGTTCTTCTCCCTGAGTGAGGTACTCCACTTGCTCGATATCATCATCAAGTTGCTCCCTCTGCTCAATAACCTCATCAGGTTGCTCCCCCTACTTGGCAACCTAGTCGGTTGTACTTTCTTCACTTGTGGAAAGGTTAGAAGTAGAAGTATGGTAACAAGGTTAAGGACTATACCATTATTTTTCTTGACCTTCTCTAATATATCATGAGCAGTTCCAACTTCACCTTTTCGGAAGACTACATCTCTGCTTCTGATGACCTTCTTCTTTACAAGATCCCTAATCGGTACCCCAATTCTTCTTCTCCATATCTAATGAATATGCAGGGAACAGATTTATCATCCAGTTTTGTTCTCTACTCCTTTGGTACATATGCAAAAGCTCTGTAACAGAATACCTTCAGATGCGAGTTGGACACCTCTTTGTTGGTCCAAACTCTCTCAGGGATTTCAAAGTCCAATTGAACCGATGGACTCCTATTGATTAGGTAACAGGCTATTTGAACTACTTCACCACAGAATAACTTAGGCAATATAGCCATTATGAGCATGTTTCTCCCCTTCTCAACAATGGTACGGTCCATTATCTCGGCTATGCCATTGTGTTGTGGGGTTCCAGGAACTGCCTTTTCATGTCTGATCTCATGAGTTAAACAGTATTCTTCAAATTCCCTTGAAGTATACTCACCTTCAATGTCACTTCAGAGATGATTTAGCTTTTGGCCCTTCTCCTTTTCCACTAGAGCATGAAACTTCTGGAAAACTTGAAACACTTGATCTTTGCTTTTCAAGATATAAACCCATAATTTTTGTGAGGCATCATCAATAAAAGTAATAAAATATTTGTTACCGCCTATAGATTTTATCTCCATTGGACCACAAACATCAAAATATACCACATCAAGTATATTCAATTTTCTTTCAGACGATGTTTGAAAGGAGACTCTATGTTGTTTACCAAATAAACAGTAGTCACAAGGTTTTACCTCCGTACTTTTGGAAAAAGAGATGGGTGATTTTCTGGCAAGAATATGCAATCTCTTCTCGCTTATATGACCCATTCTTTTGTGCCACAAATCTGCAGAAATATCATCTTGTGCCGCGTTCAATTCACCTCGACATATTTCTGCATTTTTCTTGTACAACGTTCTACGAGCAACTCCCTTTGTAATCACCAATGATCCCTTGGTGAGTCTCAACTTTTGATTTTCAAAATAATTCTCGTGCCCATCTCGGTCCAAAGCCATTCCCGAGATCAAGTTCATCCACAAATCAGGTACATGTCGCATGTCCTTTAGAAGCACTGTGCATCCGACATTTGTCTTAATACAAATGTCACCAATCCCCGCAATATTTGAGTAACTTGGGTTACCCATTCTCATAGTGCCAAAATCACCTGCTACATATCTGCAAAGAAATTCCCTTACCGGTGTGGCATGGTAAGATGCTAATGTATCAACCACTCAATCTGACTTTGGACCTGTCAAGTGCATGTATTTCTTTTCCTCATTTATGAAGAGAACAACATTATCATTGTTTTTAACTGTGGAGGTTGTGTTGTCGTCATTCTTCTTACCACTGTGTTCACCATTGCCCTTCCTTAGATTTGGGGAATCTCTTTTGAAGTGACTAGGTTGATCGAGTTGTAGTAATTTCTGGCATTTAGGATCAGTTCTTGGACTTCCCATGACCTCTGGATTTACCATAGTTGCTCGAACTCCTTCGGTAACTCTTGCTTCTACCTTCTGTGATGAGAGCATGTCCTTGATTTTTCGACTTCTTTCTCATCTTCTTATTGAATAGAAGAGCCGATGTAACGTCTTTCAACTCAATAGTGGTCTTACCATGCATGATATTTGTTGTCAAATTATCGTACGAAGATGGCAACGGGTTCAAGAGCAAGATGGTTTTATCTTCGTCCTCGATATTAACTCTGAGGTTAGTGAGTTATGTAATTAGTCTGTTAAACACATTTAAATGTGACAAAAATATTTTACCTTTACCCATGTGTAGGGCGTATAGCTACTTCTTTAGGTACAATTTATTTGTCAATATTTTGGAGATTTATAGGTTTTCTAACCTTGTCCAAATACCACATGCGGTGTCTTCATCAATGATGTTATTTACCACATCATATGTTAAGTGCAACATTATTGCAGTGGCAGCTTTTTCAACTAAGTCAACCCAATCCTCAGCTTTCATGGTATCAGGATTTTTGACATCAACATCAAGTACATTGTGTAATCCATGTTGCATGAGCAGATCCCTCATCCTTTTTTCCATG